TTATATTTTGATCAGTTGGCTTGACGCCTGGTCTGATCATGTTTTTTGATAGTTCTTGGTGAACTATATTATGTGAGGGTAGCCGGTCAAGCGGCGTGCCCCTCTTAAATTAAACATAGAGAGTGGCCGACTGTTTGTCAGTTGGCATGCCCCTCTTAAAATGAATATAAACATGGAGAGTAGCCGACTGTTGGTCAGTTGGCATGCCCCTCTTAATACAAAATTGAATAGTAATTTGCAACTTTATTCAAGTAGTCCTTGACTTTACATTTTTTTTTTAAAAGAAATATTTCTTAAGATTATCTATGTTCCAAGTTCGAGGTAACGGCTGGCCGTCTGGTGTTTCCAGACGGTAGGTACCGTCTCTAACCTCTTCATATATTCGGTAGGGGCCTTCCCAGTTGGGATTTAGCTTTCCAGACTCGTTAGCCCTACCAACAGCTTCCATTTTTCTAAGTACAAAGTCCCCCACCTTGAGTGGACGCCTGTGCACTTTTCTGTTGTATGATCGAGTCATTCTCAGGCGGTAAATCTCATGGCGTAAGACAGCATTGCCTCTCTTTTCAGGGAGTGAGTCTAACGCCAGGCGCATGGCTTCCCAGTTTGCCTCTTCGTCATATAGCATTACTCGAAGAGTCGGCTCGTAGTGTTCTATTGGAAGAACAGCTTCCGCACCATAAGTTAGGAGGAATGGAGTTTCTCCAGTCGCCCCTTTTTCAGTCGTCCTAATGGCCCAGAGAACATGTGGTAGTTCATCCGCCCATAGGCCGCCAGACAACCTGTTAACTTCTGAACCTCTCGGACGGTACGGGGCGACTGCATGCGCCAAAAAGTAGGGCTTTAATTTTTTAACAGCCATGAAGAGTGCAAGGCCAAACTTCTCCACTAAGGGATACCTCAACTCGGCATTTTTCAGCACATGGATGACAAAGTAGACCGGGAGCTGACAGCCGTCTCTTTCAGCAAGAAGAACAGCGCTTAACGCATGATCAGAGACGGCCAGATACATGTAAAGTACTTCTTTGGGCAAAGGCCTGACTAGCCTCGGCAAGGAATGCAAATGAACTTTCAATTTTTGGAAGGCCGCCTCATCATCCGGCCCCCATTCAAACCTTGCCTTTTTCTTAATTGCCTGGAAAAAGTATAGGCATTTGTCGCCTGATCGACTTAGAAATCTTCCCAAGGCCGCCAGACAACCTGTTAACTTCTGAACCTCTCGGACGGTACGGGGCGACTGCATGTCAATGACCGCCTGCACCTTCTCAGGGTTCGCCTCTATTCCTCTCTGATTAATGAGAAATCCGAGAAATTTCCCAGACTCAACTCCAAAGACACATTTCTTGGGATTGAGCATGACATGGTGCCGCCTGAGTGTGGCGAAAGTTTCTCGGACGGCTCCTCTGCCAATGACTGCTATTTTTTATCTTTTCTTGCGGCCCCCATCTGGGATGCCTTTCTTTTTTTGCCGCCTGCTTCTTGAACAGGCGCATTATCCTTGACATTGTCAATCTTTCCTCCACTGGACCCAGCGGCCATAACAGTGGGCTTGACATCCGAGAGATAGCATTCTCGTGCAATCCTCTGATCTCCCCTTAGGGAGCCGACTGTTCCATTGTCCCTCTCAAACTTGAGCAACATAAGAGATGGGATTATTACAGCCTTGGAATTATTTAGGGTTGGTCGTCCCAGAATCATGTTGTAGGCCGAGAGTTCTTCTACCACCAGGAACCGGACTACCATGTGTCGTCCTTCCCCTTTTTCACCCAGGCGGATGGGTAGATCTACTCGTCCTACAGGGTGGACGACTCCTCCTCCAAACCCTACTAAAGGGTGGGAGGCCGGATGTATACAATCAGTTTTGTACTTCAATTTTGACAGACATTTGCTACTGATAAGATCTGAGGAGCTTCCGGTATCTATGAGGATTCGGCCAACTCTCTGATTGGCCACTTTACATTCAATGACGATAGGGTCGTCATGCGGCCCCCTGACCCCTCCTAGATCTTCTTCAGTAATGACAATCTCAGGAAATGAATTTTTGGAGGGCCGTTCTGGGTGAACAGAATTTACATCTAGCCGCCTGATATTGTCTTTGTTGCCCCTAATAGTGGGACCTCCTCCTGCGAAGCCGCCTGCAATAGTGTAGACGACTGCATCATCTGTATCAGAGCTGTCGGCCTGTTGATTCTTTTTGGCCGACTGTTTTTTCGAGGAAGTGCTCCCCGTGGATTTCTTGACAAAATAGTCAAGATCACCTTGCTCAGCCAGGCGGTCTAGATACCGCATGAGACTGATGCATTCGTTGGTGTGATGACCAACATCTTCATGATAATCACAAAATTTATCTTGGTTCCGGTTGCTTGCAGAACCCTTCATGGGGACCGGCTTCTCAATAGAGATCCGTCCCTTGATTTCGTTTAGGATAGTTTGGCTATCCTTGCTAAACGCATACTTTGGGGAGTATGGTTTGAATTCTTTTTTCTTCTTCTGGGCCGGCTGTTTAGAGGAATCAGCCGCCCAGACCTCTTTTCTCTTCTTTTCCTTGTTTGACGACTGTATCTGTCGTCCTTCTTTTTTGTCGAACTTTTTCCCGTCCGACTGTTTCACTGTACTACAAAGATCAGTTGCCTGTATATAGGCTTCTGCTTCAATCAAGGCCTCCTGAAGAGTCGCCACCCTCTTTCGAACCAGATCAAATTTGAAGGTCGACCCGTCTTTGAGACCCCTGAAAAAGTCAGTATAAGCTACCTCATCCGGTAACCCTTGAATCTGTATTCTCATCAGGTTAAACCGCCTGATGTAGGATCGAAGCCCCTCCTTCTCACCCTGCTGAATTGTTCCCAAATCAAGGGTCGTCTTCTTCGCAGGAATGTTCATGGCGAAGTTGGAGGTGAACAAGTAAGCAAGCGTCCTGAAGTTGTTTACACAACCAGTCGGCAGGTTGCCGAACCATTGCTGTGCAATTCCTTTGAGAGTCGCTGGAAAACACTTGCACCAAGTGGGATCATCCAACCCTTGAAGGTACATTAGGTTGGAGAATGCCATCAGATGATCTTCTGGGTTAGTAGTGCCATCATAGGCGCCTACTAACACATTTTTCACTTTGGCCGGCTGAGCGGCTTCAGTGATTTCCTTGGAGAAGGTCGACGGCTGTTCACCAAGTCTAAGCAACCGTAGCTGCCAGTCCAAAGGTTGGACATTTTTAGCTGCGTGTCCACCAAACGGAGGTGGCTGCATAAAATACTGTTGCTGTGGTACAAACGGTAAGTTTGGTACCGCCTGGTCGCTATGAAAGCCTGACTGACGGGAGGTGCCGCCTGACTGACTCTCATGATACGACTGAGTATGCCTCATCGAGGTATTTCGCAGACTGTCTTGGAAGTATGAAGTAGAGGCCGACTCTGACAATCGGTCACTCTTCTTCTGCTCTAGCAGTAGCCGAGCGTCTGTGTATGTTTTCCTCGACCCGTCCGCCTGAATATGACGAACAGGTTTCCTATTTCCTGGAGTAGGAAAACGGTATTTTGTGAAATCAAGGGCAGGTTGCCTAGATTTAGGATGAGGGGTCGCCTCTCGCCCTTGAACTGGCTTCCTCTTCCGTGAAGTGGAGGGTTTCTTAGCCGACTGCTCCTTGTCCAGAGCAGGCGGCTTCTTGTTGATCAACTCTTGAATTTCTCCCTTGAAGTCCCTCATGAAGGTCATGAGTTCGTTCCTTGTGATGGGAGCAGACCCATCAGTCGGCTGCTGCCGAACAGGCGGTGCGCCTGCTGGCTCACTTCCAGTTTGAAGATGTTCCCGCTCCCTCCTTTCGGTATGACGGGTACGTCGGGCCCTTAGGGTCCTGTCTGAAGCTGTGTGAGCTTCAACTTCAAATTCATTCTCAGTATCGCGGTCCGACTGAACTTGAGGGTCGTCTAGGGGACGCCTCTCTTCAGGAGTCGGTACAGACGCGGATGCCATCTCAGAAGTACTCTCCCCACAGACGGCGCCAAAATGTTTCGGGGTTTTCTGGTGTCCTGCGGGAGAGTTACAACACCCAGACTGGAACCGGACGCTTGTACCTGCAAAACAACGAAGACTCCTTGTGGTAGGAGCTCCGCCTCCACCGATCAAGTCAGTACTTGTTTGAGGAGTAATAAGTGCGGAAATTAAAGGGGGGAGATCTGGTTCCTCTAGAGGAGGAGTGATCAATGTGTTTAGACTTCTCTAGGTGAGAGTCATTAATGTGTAATCCGTGTGTTGTTTTCGAGTCCTCCCTCTCTTAATGAGGATTAAGAGGGGTATTTATAACCTCGGGAAGCGTGCCACTCTCTAGGTTTAGGGTAAACCTAGGGCTGACTGGGCCTCTAAACAGGATTGGGCCTTGTTGGCCGGTTTTCCCATTTGGCATGGGTGGACACGTGCCGTGTCTCAATTGGTCCGTAGAGGACGTATCTGTGATTGACACGTGGCAGGCTCCTATTGGCCTACGTGAAGGACACGTGGAGGAACCTGGTTGGTCCACTTGTCAGACGGTGATTGGTGGATAAAAATCCCCTAATCACAACCCGCCACGAGTCAACCCTGAAACCGATTTGAGGGTTTACATACACCTCCAGGTACACACATTCCTCTTAACGTGTGGTTTAGGTTCATCCCGAGAGGCTTGCCTATTTATAACGAGAAAGCCCCAATTTATCATCATGATAAACAAAAATCATTTATCAAGTGACAATTTTGCAAATAAATCAACAAAAAAAAAATTCAAATCAGCATGACATTTTATAAATAAAGCAACATTTATGAACCCACAATTAATAAAAAGTTGTTAATTTATTTACGAAAATATCACTAGATAAACAATTTTTTATTCATCATAATGATACTTGTATTTTCCCTTTTGCGACAGCTATAAAATTCGTGTATTTCTAACATATCACAGTTTTTTTAGGTTTTTAAGGGACATTTTATATTGGGTTTTTTAGAACTTAAAGAGCAGAATCTTAAATTCGGAAAAGAGATAGAGTATCAAGATAAACTGACAAGGAATAATAGTGATGAGACCTTGTTCATCATTCTCAGATAAAATATAATTTGCTATAACCGCTACTGTTATCTGCCCAGAAAAAAAAAAACCTTTCACCAGTTTCTAAATGGCTATAGCACCAATGAATATACAATATTCCAAGCAAAGTCAAAAAATTGAAACAAAAAGATGTGACATAACAGTGAAATTGAGAATAAATACCTAAGTTGTTTCCTTCTTCATAAAGTTCGTATACTAGGTACAACAAAATTCGCCTTGGGAAATATCCCTATTCCATCTACTTCAGCTAATTTCGGGGTTCGTAATGAGATCAATCATAGAGGGGAAGTCGAGCAAAATCACCATCGGCACAAAATAATACCTTTTCTAACTTATCAGTTGAGCTATCTTTTACTATTGGGAGCCTTGGCTTTATTTAAATTAGCAAGCTCCTCAACAAGCTTCTTTTCATCATCACTAAGACGTTTTGGAATTTCAACTTGCACTCTCACCAGCTGATCCCCTCTAATGTTGGGCTTGTTCAACAATGGCACACCTTTCTTAGCCATCACCAAAGTTGTCCCAGGTTGTGTGCCCGGTGGTATTTTCATATCTACTGACCCGTCCACAGTTGGGATCTTCATAGTTGTCCCAAGGATGGCATCAATGTAAGAAACTTTGCAGGAGTAGAGAATATTTGTATCGTCCCTTTTCAAAACAGGATCAGGGATGACATCAATGGCAACAAACAGGTCTCCAGGGGGCCCACCTCTCCTTCCAGCATTACCTTCTCCTCGAACTCTCAGCCGACTACCGGCATCAACACCAGCTGGGACTTTTAAGCTAATGCGCTTTGATTTTCTCACCCGTCCGTCACCACTGCAGGTATTACAAGGAGTTGAATTCTCCCCAGTCCCGCCACAGGCTGAGCAAGTGGAAACTTGTTGGAAAACACCAAGGGGAGTGCGTGCTGCAGAGATGACCTGTCCTTGGCCGCCACATGTGCTGCATTTGGTTGGCTGAGTACCAGGTTTGGCACCTGATCCATTGCAGGTACCACAGGTCTCCAGACGACTTATGTCAATATCCTTCTCAATGCCAAAAATGGCTTCTTTGAAATTAAGCACCAGATTGTAAACCTGATCTTCGCCTTCAGTGGCCCTGTTTCTAGCACCTCGTCCTCCCATTCCCCCCATTCCCATACCACCAAGGTCAAATATAGACTCGAATAGGTCGAAGGGATTTGTGAAATCCTGTTGAAAGCAGCAAAACTTTAATACCAAGAATTCACAACCACCAAAAAATAAATGGAGTAAATTGTTAAAAAGATCATTTACCCCTGGGCCACTTGCAGCTCCTTTAAGACCAGCCTCCCCATATCTGTCATATATAGACCGTTTCTCATCATCTGACAAGACCTACAAATAGTATTACCAGTCAACTTAGTTTATAAAGTGGGAGACTATAAATCACAGTAACCTAAAGACAAGAATCAAGTGAGCTAAAAAAAAAGAAAGAGAGTAAAAAAAAAAAAAAAAAAAAAGTGAGCTACAAAATGTGCAACAGCCGGACAACTTGACAATGAAGGGCAGCACAATGAAATTAACGTTATCATACATACCTCATAAGCATTGCTGATATCTTTGAATTTCTGCTCTGCTCCAGGCTCTCTACAGTACGAATAAAGCAAGATAACAAGGTTAAACTTAAACAAAACTCATATGTACAAGATAAGCTCACAAGAAAGGAACACCTGAAATGAGTAAGAAAAAAAAAATCTATTTTGAGACTAAACAGTTTATTAAGAGAAACATAGAGCTGAACATGACAAAGGGTATGATCCACAAATCAGTGTATGATTAATAGCATTGGTAAAAGAAGGAAATGTGTGCAATCCAACATGCAACTTCTGGAAGAGTTTATAGCTTCCCTATATGGAGTACAGACAAAACATCAGTTGCATGTGACATTTGCAAAACAGAGTTTAATAGGAACACAAGATCAGTGAGATATGTCAGCATCAAAAGGATTGAAGCTGTGGTCTGGTCATGTAAATTATACATCAGCAACAGCAGTACAGCTCTATATCCCAACTATGATAAGGTCAAACAGCCATTAGAAGAGCTTACCAAATTTATTATTTTCTTCTCAAGGATAAAACCCAAATCATTTAGAAAGACATTTAAGATTTCTTCAAAGTTCAAACTAGTATGTCCCATTCTTCAGTTGTGTCAAGCTGACTTTCTTAGTGAGACACTGCTATCAGAGGTCTTGGATAGTATAACACCTTCAAACTCAGAAGATACTGCACTCCTCGATGAAACCCCAAATGCCAGACTATGAGACCTTTTTACACAAATAAGGAGGCAATCAGCTCCAATGTGCTAACTACCAAACTTAAATGTTTAATAAGACATTATGAGACCTTTTTACACAAATAAGGAGGCAATCAGCTCCAATGTGCTAACTACCAAACTTAAATGTTTAATAAGACATTCAAGGATGCTTAAAAATCCTAACTCATCGTATCTCACTATTTCAGCGAGTACAGTTATTCACTTGCACTGAGTAGGCCATCTCAAATAGGCATCACCATCCTATCACAAGTCCAGTGTTACACCTTCGCCTTTAAACTTACAAGTTCCAGTACACCCTGATGAAAGGCCAAGTGCCAAAAATAACAAGAATTCAGAACAAACTAGGTAGCAATTACTTTAATGTACCTATATGCTCTTAGTTTGTCTAATGGGTAGTTTCTCTTGCTGATATTATATAATTTTTTATTTAGACCCATCCCCTGCTTCATACTGCCATTCTATTGTGCCTACTTGTATTTCTTATTTACTTTCGTTTAAGCGGACTCAATAGTAATCGACTGTTCACAAATCTGAAAGGACAGGCGGACAGGACAGCATGATCCAAATTAAACAGCAGCTTTCCCATGCTGTAAGAAAGAAGGTGAAGATTGCTGCCTTCACCTTTTCTAGAAGTAATGTCAAATCATATTTTCTCATTGAAACTTCAGGAGGCTGGATAAAATAAATTGCTGAAAGCCTTAAGGAAACTAGAACTCAAACACAACAGAGAAAATTGAAATAACATTCACCTGTACTTTTATGGACTAAACAACCAAGTGCTCAACTGGGAGCCCTGAAGGTGCACAGAAAGAAATGTAATCACCAAGGTTGCTTCTCGTGAAACATTAAAATGAAAGCCAATTTACTTCCATTAAAATCATTCAAACAATTTTATGGGCACAACTATAGAACCTCTTCCCTCAACTACCCATAATGATGCATGAGAAAAGTGATAGATAAAATTAATCGGACAAAAAAAGAAACAACAGCAACAACACACACAGTTGACCGTAAGTAGCTAAAGTATACAGAGAAAATCAAATACTGAATAGTTACTCATAAAGTAAGAAAATCAAATCGCCCGCATTCATAGTAAAATACTTCCTCCGTTCTTTTTTACTTGACATGCTTTGACTTTTACACTGTTCATCACTCCTCCTTTGACCGTATTTTGTGAATTATATGTAAGGAAAAAGATATTCATGTGAGATCTTGTTAGATTTGTCTCAATAAGTATTATCACAATTTATAACTTTTATAATTTTTACTTATAGAGAAATAAAGTTATTGATGGTTAAAGTTGTGCATCGGCAAGCGTGATAAAAAAACAGGTCAAGTAAAAAAGAACAGAGGAAGTAGAAAAATTGTGCAAAAAAAGAAGTTGGGAAGAAATAACTCACTTGTTAACATCAGGATGGTAACTCCTTGCAAGCTTCCGGTAAGCTGAACACAAAATAACATTATTTCCTTGAAGGCAAGAAATGTAACACTTCAGCTAAAAAGCAGATAAATGAGCATGAGGTATGAATGCCATAACAGAATAGGATAAAAAGTGAAATTGGGAATATAAATCCTTTCAGGATTATATAATATCTCAATAAAAAAAAAAATTATTCAAATGAAATGAAAGACCAACAGGAGCTCATGACTGGGTCAAATAAGGATCAAAGGCAATGGCTTCATTCTTGAGAACAGAGAAGCTAATATCTTCAGATAATTTGCATAAACAAATAGAAAATATCACATAGCTTCATGACATTCTGTCTTTCATTTAACTTTTCATCTAATAAATTTTGCTCCTAACTAGACTACTCCAGATTGGCCAAGACATAGCACAATGCAAATTTACTCCACTTCAGCAAAGCACAATAAAATCCTGCTTGGTTAAATTATAACATTTCACAGTTTGCAAGAAATTTTTAAAATATAGGAAGCAGAATTCCAGTACGGATAAGTCTCATTGACAACTTTGAACCTCCCACTCCCCCCCCCCCCAACCACCACCAGGCAGAGAAAGTAGAACACCAGGAGGGACTTCACATGATCAATCAAACTATTTTCTCTTAATGTCTTGGCAATGAAAGGACAAGGGAAAACAAGTCAGAATTTCAGCCAAAAAGGCCTGGGCCTCTATCACAAATTAGATTTTGCACTTTCATTTTTCATGTGTCCTATATTAGCTTTTACAATTGTATTTTTGAAAATTCCACTGTTAATTTAATGTCTCACTTCCCACTACCAAAAAATTAGAACCCCACAATCCCTCAAATTCAAATATTCTGTTATCTAAACAACTTATCATTAAATAATATTATTCACATCTACTTTTTTAATTAAATAATATTCAACTCTCTCCTCCAATAAATTAACTATTGATAACTAAACAACTTATCATATATCACTTAAAAATATGTGCCAATATAAGTTTCAAAACAAATGTGGGATAAAGGGAATAACAATCAACAATACAATCGAGAATCCCAAAATGACAGAGTGAAATCCAACAGCAGGTCAAGCAGACGGAACAAGATAGGATAGAAATGGACTTGGGGTTCAATCTTTTTCACTAGAAAACTCCTAATCTGAATTAATGACTATCTGAATTTATGTTTCCTTAAAAAATAACCAAATTAGGGTGACAAGAACAAAGGCTACTTTATCTTGGATCTTGTCTCACAGATTTATAAGTATCTCTAAAGAATGTTAGATAATCCTTCAACTAACAATAAATAAAGTCCTTATAAAAGAATAACTCAATCCACATCAAAACACAATATTATATGGTGATTCCATAGCACCTGAAAGGTTGCGAAAAAAAAAATCTCTGTTATGACTATGAACAAGCATCCATTGACCATACATACCTACACTAAAAAACAGATGGTACAATTCAAAGACTCACTTCTTAAAAGCAAAGGACACCAGAGAATCAGAGACCAAGAGTAGATAGACACTATCAGACATTTAACATGGAGGTCAGATCCTTCATGAGCAGCTTAAATCGGATGTGATTGATAATTATTTCAAATGAAAAGACTACCAATTATCACCTAAGCCTTCCTTGACCTCCTTAACACCTCCCAAGTCCTTTTATCCAACAAAACTCATCTACAAATTGTATTGTTGTAAGGAATTTATCATCAAGCTGTCCAATGCTCAATATGGGTAAACAAACTACCTATATAGAATTTGTAGATGAGTTTCCTTACAAACTACCTATATACCTTACAAATTACCTAAAGTGTTTACCCATATTTAGCATTGGATAGCTTGATGATAAATACCAAACTACCTTACAAACTATATAGGTATTTGTTTACAAACTACCTATATACCAATGATTTTGTTTACAAACTACCTATATACCAAATTACCTTACAACTTGTTTACAAACTACCTATAGATGAGTTTCCTTACAAACTACCTATATACCAACAAACTACCTATATAGCATTTATCATCAAGCTGTCCAATGCCAATGAAATATTAGAGGGTACTTTTGGCACTTCACCTAATAAAGATAAAAAAATAGAGGATAAATGGGTGATTTCCAGGTAACATTAAATGGTAAAAAAGGAATTGGGAACTATATTTAGGACCACCAAAAATGGAAATGGGAACTATATTTTAGGGACGGAGGGAGTATTTGTTCACAGCACACCTACATATATAGAAGGCTTGTCCCTTTGATATGGCAGAGTTTCCAGAATTTCTGCCTCATGATCTTTAATCAGAACAGAAATTTTTATAATAGCTAGAGACAGATGTGCAGCAGGGAGATGACTGCAAATAAAGGAAACTTGGCAAACTATAGAGTTCATTACCAAAAGCAATTTTAAGCCCACAGCCATCAAAAGTGACTAATTTCTCCGATATTTCAGATCCAATACCAAGAAATTCTACAAAAGACATTGCATCCACGTCTTACAACTTTCCCAATGTGATCAAGATATATACAAGTATTACAACTGATAATATCATGCACAGAATGAATGCACTCATCTGCTTCCATAACCCTTAAGAATGCGGAAAATCGGTTAACTGGCTTACAGGATTGTTTAAAATAGTAAAGGGAGGTATTGTCCTCTTCCATTTCCTGCCTCCCTAGCTAGGGCTAAGGAGGCAGTTTCTCAGGGAATTCAACTCCATACCATCCTCTTTCAAAAGTCCATTCTCTTGTATTTCAATCTTAGTTCTAATGCAAAGATCTACAATTAAGGAGTGTACAAAACCAGGTTCAATTTATAGTTAATCCATATTTTCAGTGACCTTTCACGTTGCAATATTCCAACTCGTAATAGTCATAAATTCATGTGGGTAGCTGAAACACAAAGCAGATAGCCTAACCTGAATGGATGCTTCAAAATTCTTAAAAGCCACCCTTAACCGAAATTCTTGGTTTGGTTACCCACATCTTCAAGTTGGACTATTAGGTTGTCAAGTTCATTTTTGGTTTTCTAAATTTTTTGCACAGCCCAAGTCTACATATCCCAATGCACGCCTTAATATGAGGATTTCACCCTTTGAATAAATTAAGCCTAGGCCAAATCTATGTTACTCGGACTCGGGCACCCATGTCCAACACGGGTACGCGTTCAAGTGTCCGACTCGGCTATTTTGTGAAAAAAATCTATGATTTTGAACTAAAATGAAGTGTCCAAGTGCCATATCCATGTCCGAGTGTCGAGGGTCCAACACGGGTACTTGAGGTATGAAAAGTTCGAGTAACATGCCAAATTATTTCAACCTTTTTCTACCTCGCATAAAAATAATCATATAATCAAGCCGCAACAACTGAAGACCATATACACAAAACCAATACTCTTTTACATTGCAGCCCTTCAATCATCAATACTTATGGTCACGAAGACTCCATCACTCGACATAGGCCCCGTAGGTAGATGAGAAAGAAAATGAAAAGCAAGGAAGAGGCAACACTGTTGTTGCACACATATATAAAAACAAACAGGCTTCTTGTGAAAACTTTCAAAAACTACACACGAGTAAATACTACGTACAAACCTACATCAATTAGTAATTTAAGAAGCTAAATGGAAACTTCTAGAAAGTGGAAAAAAAAGTTGCTCGAAAAACCAATCAAACAATTGCCTACAACATGTCATTATTTTCATAAAAAATAAACGAAATAAAGAAACTTTGGGAAGTAATCGGTATTGTAAAGGTGTAAAGGTCATTGCAAAGGGAAACGATGAGATGATTTTGGTGACATGACAAGACCGCAAGACTGGCTTCTTCTGTGATTTTCTTCAAAAAAATTTATGTCCATGGTCTTCCCAATTCATATCTGGCAAAGCAAGCTTCACTTAAAGCTTGTTGTTTTGCCTGGTCGTAGTCACTATCATCCCTAATATGGCTGTTTTCAAATGAAGGAATGTTTACATTACCAGCTGTTGGTAGTATGTGCCCTGGGGAAGACACGGTTAACCATCTTCTCTTTTCTCATTGGCACTATTGATTAGTCTCATATGGGATGAACTAAGTTCTTTTTGTAGAAGAAGTTCTTGTAGATTGGAAAAGAAGGAAGAAAAACAACTGGCTTGCCAAAGTGCACAAGATAGTTCTGTTGGCAATATCGTGTTTAAAAAGAAAGAAACAGCGAATTTTTGAGGGAACAGCTTACCCTACTCAAAGGTTTGAGCTCCTTTATATTTTTCATAAAAAAAAATTGCTTCACGACATCGAGTTGGCATGAGGTCCTCAAATGTGTTGCTTTGAAAAAAAAAGGTCCTCAAATGTTATTTATCCAATTGCCTCGTAATCAACTTATATTTTCACTATTTTCATGTAATTTGCAAAACAGCCACTAGCCATTTAATTGTAAAACCAACATCAGTCTCTCCTGTTAAGCTTATTGTAAGAATGGATCATCTACCAATAACTCACATCCCAATGTAGTCATAATTACATGCATTGTTGTCAAAATCGCGATCCGAATCGTAGGATCGTGCGATCCTACGATCCCATTTTAGCCAAACAATTCGAATCGGATGCAAAATCGCAGAGTAAGCAAGATCGTTGTAGGATCAGGATCGCACGGGATCAGGTAGGATCGTACAGGATCGGGTGGGATCGGACGATCCTGTTTTTCACTTAAATTATTATTGGATTGTACAGGATCGGTCAGGATCGGACAGAATCGTGCAGGACGGGCAGAATCGAGTAGGATCGATCAGGATCGTACGATCTTACTTTTCACTTATTAAAATGAGCCTAAAGCAATTAAACTTTTCTCTAAGCTAAGAAAATTACTATCCAACTACTAAAACTATAAATTTTACCATTTTTATGGCTTAAAAAATGTTATCTAATTATGTCGCAACCCTCTTATTACTCTTTTTATCAATTTTGTAGAATCTTACGATTCTATGATCCGATTTCACCGATTCAATCCTACTCCTCTCACCAATCCAAATAACCTTGATTACATGGGGATAATATGATTAAACAACACAACACGTGGTCCCCAGTACAAATTTTAACAAATCACAAATTGCCATCTTATAATGAGTATCATGGTAAAGTGAGAAATTCTCTTATTAAAGAAAACACCGAACACCAATAACATTAAGGTCATGAAGCAAAACTGCAACTCACCGCTTTTAATTTCTGATTTGCTGGCATTTCGTGATACTCCTAGAATTGAATAGAAGTCCTGTGAATTCTAATGTATGAGTACTTACATTCATGAAAAGATGAACAGATATTTAATACTTCGTAAAAAATAAGGTATGAAATATAGAAAGTGGAATGAGATACTCACAGACTCAGCTCTAACAATGAAGCGGAAACCCCTTTTATGGCATGGACTTCGAGCTGAACTCACATTAAATATCAAATGCACTGGTTCAGGGGAAAAAATGCTGGAACTCAGGGATTGAATCGCTCTTATCTTGCTTGGTCCACTGCAAACACAACAGTAAAGCAGCCAAAGTGCCGCATTTAAGTACAATATTATAAGATCAAGTCCCATGTTAAATTAATGAGAATAAGACACAAACATACACACAAACACACCTTTACCCAACTTCAACCAAACTAACAAGGCCAAAACATATTATAACCTGTGGCACCCATATATGAGGGTCAACTATAGGGGTCTATGTAAGAGTTTGTTTTTTTTTTTGTTAAAAAAATAAATAAAAAATAAAAAATACTTGGATGTAGAGTGATAAGTGATTGTATGATCATCATTACCAAATACATCTGATCATGGAGCCCAAGTCCAAACAATCACTTGTAGCTGTCAACGAGATCCCCTTCATTACTAATTTCAAGAGCCATAAACCAATTTCTTCATATCAAACTTAACTCCCTCCATCCAAACGTCTTTGACCTCCTTAAATGTGTCTCAAAACCACCATCACTCCCCCCCCCCTTCACCTCCCAAAACTAGATTAATAAAAGAAAGGAACTTCTGCTCTTCTGCCCATAGTTCTTTCCCCATTTGCGGGCATACACTGTAACATATCCTACCTCTTTCTTTCTTCTGCACAAGCAGAAGCACTCATTCTAATCCTCATTATTAACATTTACAACGAAAATATGGTCTGAAGTCCAATGAAATTTCAATGGCCATCTAATTAGACAGGAAAAGGTTTGGTGTGTGGACATGGTTAAGCATGAAAGACGTCTCAAGTAAATGCAACTCATACTTGGATGATATTAAGAGGTGAAAAACGGAAGATTAATTAAATTTGGGAATTCACTCGCCGAGAGGATTTTGGCTTGCTCAAGGAGGGTCTGCTTGCAGGGCAAGCTGCTCCATTAGTCTAACTCTACCTCAAACGACCGCATAAGCAACATATCCTACCTCTTTGACGCAACATTAGAATTTTTTACTTACATAATAACCTATTATTGCCATAACTAGAGTATTCTTCTCATGTTAGGAGAGAAGAAAAAAAAAAAAAAAAAAAAAAAAGCTTTTGGAAGATTTTGGAGAGCTTTTGTACACCATTATTAAACATCTTACACTTCTAGAGCACGTTTGTGGTTTTTTACTCTTTAATGACAAAGAAGAGATTTTTTTTTCACATTAAACCCTTTGTCCCTTCATTCAATCGTTTTCTTTGATCATTTTGTTGAATATACTATTGTTTGATTGGTATTTGATAGATTGCATTATCAATTGCTCTCTACAAGTGGTATCAGTCAAATAAAAGTCTAAATTTAGAAACAATCAACAATAAAGGATGCGAAATGCAAAGATTGAGAAGTTTCAATGGGAAAGATTATGCCTTTTGTAAGATGCAAGTTAAGGACTACCTGCCTGTACCAAAAGGTGTATCAACCTGACAATAAGGAGCTAATAGACAAGTGTTTGGGTGGTTTGATTGATATTGGCGCACATTTTTTTAAAAACTTTAATTAATCAAACCCCACTATATTCTGTTTTATATTCATCTTTAATCAACCAAACACCACCATCTTTTGTTTTTTTAATTCATTTCCTAAATACGTGTGTATATGACTAAAGGTAAATAGGACTATTAAGGGACAGATGGGAGTATTAATTAAGGGAAAAAGAAACACACACACATTGTATGTGTTATTGTTATTTAGCGATATATTTATTTGAAAAGAGTCGAAGGGTAACACTCACTAAAGCCAATAAAGAGTCAAAGGCTGGGAAACTAGAGTTGGTGCCCACTAATGTTTGACAGCCTTCTCTAAGAAAAGAAAGTGTGAGTTTATTTGATTAAGCATAAGTCCGAGGTTTGTGATACCTTCAAAAGTGATAAGTAGAAGTCGAGAATCAAATTGATAAGATAAAATTAGGCGCATTAAGTGTAATAATGGGTTTAGAAATACAAAATCACTTTAAAGAGGACCACTTCAAGAGAACCTTACATCAACATAATGGAACTATTGAGAGGATTAATAAGAAACAAATAGAACAATATAGGAATATGAGGAAATGACGACCTAACACATCATATTAGTCGGGTAAACAAAGGGCCGTCAGTTTTAAAAGTGTTATGGAATGGAAAAGTGGTGAATCTTTCTTAATATAATTTTTTGATTATGTTGCTTCAAAATAATTTTGTGAGGATAAAAACCCAAAGGTCAAAAAAAAGCTTCTTTATAGGATATTGTTATGAAAAATGTAGGTATCGTTTTTAAAAACCAAGAGGAAGGAAAATTTTGAGACACTACAATGTTGCTTTTAATGAGACAAAAATTGTATACGGATGTGATTAAAAAAATATGGAGTTTGAAGAGGAGTTAGTAGAGTTGGAGGGAATTTCAAAAGATGGCGTTCTTATTCCTCAATGGGATTGTACTTGCCCCACAAGCCACAACAACAATAGGCTTATGTTGATGCTCCACGTATAAAGCTAGTTAGATATTGTGAAGCTTGCTAGTATTTGGATATTGTTGCCTTGTTAGCTATATTTTCTCACTAGAATATACCGCAATTCTACATGGTAATCTAGATGAAGAGATAAATATGAAACTAAATGAATTTAAGTTCCAAGCAAGGAAACACAATATGCATGCTCAAAAGAAGCTTGGTTAAAGGAAATGGTACTAAAAAATTGACACTCTCATGCATAAGAGGAATGTATTTTCAAAGGTAAACGTAATTATGCTCACCTATTTACATTTGTTCATAATAATTGCACTATCTCCTTATTCGGTAAGTACATTATGACAAGAGACTATGTTACCCTTCAAATTTCCTTTCATGACCCTACTCACATCTCTTTGCTCAACCATACAAGGGTAGCGTCATATGTTTAACATTTTGTTTCCTCTTTATTAAACAATGTGCCTTTTAAAATAGTGCAATTGAATCGAACAAAGGAAGTACCATAAAGGGTGTAAACACTTGGAGTACCTCTCAAATATCAAAGGCAACAAAGAGATGGAATGACTTATTTGGGTTTTTAAGAGGATGAAAAGACAGCAAGGATGATTCAAACTAGGTAAAATGCCAAAGATCTTTTTTAAAAGTGGGTCTACATCCATCTTCAAGGTACGTCTAAGATTTCTCATGTGACTTACTTACCTACCATGGTTTAGGATTAGTCTAAGATAACCCCAAATTCCTGATAAAATTTTCAATAATAATTTTCTTGCCAATGACCATCGAATTCCAACCACCACTTGCTGTTGATGTGAGGTATGTAATTCTTATTCTCCACTCTTTTTCTCTCTTATATCTTCTCTTCGGTCTGTATTTCTCTCTATTCAATTTATCTTTCTCTCTTTGATTTTGTCTTTCAGTTTCAGTCATTCCCACTCTTTAAGTTTACTTGTTTATCAATCCGGAAGCTTCACCACCATTTAAAATGCACCTTTCTTTTATTGTCTCTTTCAGTCACCCTCATCTAGATAGGTTCCCCACTGAGCCAGTGACTAAAGTAGTCAATAAGGTTGTAAACCCCTCCTCAGTCCTTCCTCCCCCCCTCCCCCCCTCTCACCCTCCTCCCCCCTTCATATTTTTTTATTGTAATTACTGTTTCACCCCTGCTGTGAGTTTATGAGAAGTATAAGTTGGGTTTTTTTTCCTTACCAAAAAATAAATACGAGATAAATAAAAAATCAACTAAAATGGTGCACCTTGTATCCAAAAGGCATGCGTCTTAGCCTCTATCGACAAGAATAAGTGACTAAGGCCCTGTTCTATTCAACTCATGTTAACTTATTCCGATAAGTTCAAACAATTTTATACAAAGAAAAAAAAAATAGACAATTTTTTCCAGACAATATCATAGTCAAGTAGGACATTTTAAGACAGTAAATTTATTTTTGTCAGACAAAACTAGTTCATAAACTTCATACTGATAAAATAAGTTGAATGAAACAAAGCCAAAGTGTGTAACTAACGAATCAAATAAAAAAAATGTTCAATTCAGTTACATGATGTGAAATTATTGATGCTTAGTCAACAACGAACACTTCAAAAATTTTAACAATTGTGTAAGGAAACATCAAATTAATAAAGTAGATATTGGTCATTCAACATACTTAAGATTCTTGGTGTAAGTGTGTAACTTCAAGGGAAATTGTTGGGACATGAGCTTAATAAAAAGAATGTGCTGAATTCTCACCAAATTGAAATGGTTGCAAATTTACTTTCCACCGAATGACTTGACATAAGTAGGGGGCGAACACCCCACTGAACTCCCCATGTGGTTCCACAAGGTGAAAAGGCCATTTGACTTGCCAAAAGCTCACAAAGAGTACTGCCCAAGAGCCTGCAACTTGCAAGTGGTTAATTGCAACATCATACATAGAAAATATAGACTGAATCCCAACCAGGCACCCCACACCCTCTCCCTCAAAAGAAAATAATAAACAGTTGAAGGGACAATCGTCCAACATTGAGAAGATGAGAACTTGATCAATTAATCACATGTAAAATACATTGCTATTGCCTTGACTCCAACCAAACACTTGCAAAATATACCACTCCTCAAAATTGTCTCAATATCTATCTATCTAACATCATAAATCCAGTCTCTAAAATATATTACTCCCTCCATCCCAAAAAAAAAAAATTACATCGCTATATTTTTTACTTTGGAGTTTGGACATCCTAAAATATGTCGCACGGTTGCACCTGTCTTTTATAATTTCATCTTTCTACTTGCTTGGCCTTAGAACTTTTCTCACTTTTACCTCTCAAATATTGCCACAATCTGTTCTACGTAAACATTTTTCTTACATGCGCTTTTTCTCCTCCCCACCCACTTGCCACAAGAGAATATGTACCGACAAAAGAGCTAAGATCCAAAATAGGGGCTAAGGCTTAAGGGAGTATAAACCATGAAATCTAAGACACCAAAGGCCAACAACTTAATAGTATCTAATATCATGATCTTTATCCAATTTTACAACTTTATACCTGACTTCCAAAGAGAATAAGTATCCATCATCTACCTCAAATTGCTACTCTAAATATACCAATGATTTTTCTACAGTCATTAAGCAACATACTATTATCTACATTGCCCAAACCTACAACTAATGTCTAACCACTAATAAATGGTATTGATATACAACAAATAACTACTCTTTCCGAATGCTACTCGAATATCAATCTAGGTTCAAGCTCACGCTCAATTAGCCTCAATCAGTTCAGTTCGGCTCGTAGGCTCGAAAAACGCAGCACATTAGCAACCAAATTTGACTCAATTATAAATTTAGGCTCAAAACTTCACATAAACTTCTTCTAGCTTAAGAAATAACGTAAACTGCACATAGCAAAATTCTAGCAACAAAATTGCACATCAAAAGCATTCATAACTTCAGGAATTATAGCCAATAGTTCAAAAATCAACCTTAGAAGAACCCTAAATTCACTGTAATGACAATTAAACTGCCGAAAGTGAGAAATTGAACCCTGGATGGTAAAGTTAATACTGAGTGATTAAAAGATAAGAGAAAACATCTTACCTTAGAAGCTGCTTCAATGGAGGAGAGAAAGCTCAGAAGCCGCTTCAATGGAGAACTGAAGAGTATGCTTCAATGGAGGAGAGAGAAATTGCAGCGTAAAATGAACTGCTCTAAAGGGATAAAAAAAAAGGCAAACATAGAAGGAAGTTTAGTGACGTATACAGTATCAACCGTCTGATCTAATAATATCATCGGCGATCGTCCATTCACATTTACAAAGTACGAAGTAAGTTGAATGACGGAGCACTTATTACTCCGTATTTATTTCTTACCCCTGTTTACCTTAATTTTTTCGGCGTATCTTGTATGCGACTAGTTATACCATATTAATCAAGTAATTTTTATAATATTGACTCCTGTTTACCTTAATTTTTTTCCGTGTGACTTGTGTGCGACTAGCCACACCATATTAGTCAAGTAATTCTTGTAATACTGAGTAAATAATGTCTGAGTAACCCCTATAACACTAACCGAGTAACCCCTATAACACTTGACAAAGTAACCCTTGTAACGCTGACCGAAAAACCCCTGTAAGTCTGTTACCCTATTATGACTGGCCACACGGTGTGACTAACCACATATGAAACTTTTTATAATTTTTCTCACTTGAAATTATTTTACTAAATTAAATTTGACAAAAAAATTTTATTAAAGTTTCTAATTTTACAGATGGGTGCTACTAAATGCATATTGAATTTACCTAAATGCATATTGAATTTACCTAAATGAAGGACAACTTAAATTTCATTAAACTTTAAACTTCCAATACTACTCCTATTTTAATTAATCTTAAGCTTATCCTTATCTTTACCTTATAAAAAGTACAAGATTACTTTTATAAATAGTGTACTGCCAGTTATACCCTTTAAAATGTGCACTTATATGTTTACCCGCTTTAATATGTACAAGTTTTTTTTATTTTGCCTTCATAAATGTTAATTGCTTTTTTTTTTTTTTTTGCCTTCATTAATGTTAATTGTTTTTATTTATAACTATGTAGAATAGTAAGCGAACATTTATATCCCTAAAATATTTATTTACATATTTTCCCTCATTAATGTAATCAACAATCGAAAAAACTCCCGAACATAGCTAGCTATAGGTAGGGATTTCAGTGGGACGGGTCAAGTAGGAGACCCGCCCCATCCCCGCCCCAGTTGGGTGGGGATGGGTCTCGATTTGGCTAGTGGTGGGGCAGGGATGGGGATAAAAATCATACCCGCCATGGGTGATGGGGAGGGGGTGGATTTTAGGTTGTACCTGCCCCACTTCATACCCGCCCTGCCCCATCCGCCCCACTTTGTACCTGCCTCATCCCCATCCCATACCTGCATCTATATATTTTTAAAAACAAAATTATACTTTATACTATCTTTTAATAAAAAAAAATTATGTAAATAAAATAGTAAATATAATACTTTGTAATACACTTATATTATAAACAAAAGAGTGTGTAACATTAACAATGATTTTTTTTTTTGTAACCTATATTAATTATGTAGGATTGTGTATTTGGGAGGCGGGGATTAGGTGGATCTTGGGTGGGGATTAGGCGGGGGTGGGGCGGGGATGGTTGTTTTAGAATTGTACCCGCTGGGGCGGGGATGGGGATGAATTTTGGACCCGCTGTGGGGATGGGGATGGGGATGGGGATGTAAAATTTAAGTGGGGATGGGAAGACCAACATCAGCCCCGTCCCGCCCCATTGACATCCCTATTAGCTATAGCGCGCGCGTTAGCCACCTTAATCTCTCATAATTTTATAATGGAAAAATGGAAACTAATAAATCCCACCTTTGGCTTTTCTGCTCAAAACAAACCCAACTTTTCGAAATTGGAAACAATCACACCTTTGACCCCCATCTGCTCAAAACGAGCCTTTTAACCTACAACCTGTTTAACAAGATAATTTATTTTTTTTTTTACTTTTTTATTTATTTATTTTTTTTCAATCTCTCATCTCCTACCTTAGCTACCCACCATAAACATCACCACCCTTCCATAAGCACCACCACATCACCACCTAACCCCACCACCTTCCACTACTAGAAATAGGCCGATTTCCGACGGACTATTTCCGACGGACACTTAATTCCGTCGGAAACGTCAGAAGTTCCGATGGATTTTTATTCCGACGGCATTTCCGACGGAATTAAAATCCGTTGGAATATAAGGGTTTCCGACGGAATATTCCGTCAGAAAATTACTTTTCCAGCGGAATTAAAATCCGTCGGAAGTTTTCGACGGAATATTCCGTCAGAATAATAATATTTCCGATGGAATTAAAATCCGTCGGAAAGAAAGAAATAATTTTATATAAAAAAAACACCCTTAAAACCCTAAGCAACCGCCCCTCCCCCTTATTTAATCCATTTCTCTTTCTCTCTCCTCCTCCTCCTCTGTCATTTCATCTTCTGCTCACCTTTTCTTTCTCTTATCTCTCGTTCTCCTTCTCCCTCATCTTCTCCTCTCTCGTTCTCCTTCTCCCTCATCTTCTCCTCTGTCGTTCTTCTTCTCTTCTCCCCTTTCACTTTCATAGCCACCAACACCATCAACGAACACCCTCAATGCAACACCATCAACGAACACCTTCAACGACGCCAACACCAAGTTCACCAACAACGGTTTTTTATATATCTTAGATTGTAGATCTAGCCTTTTTTTCCTTTTAAATTCCGATTTTAGTTAATTATTGATGTCATTGTAATGTTAATGTATAAATTTTGTAAAATTTATGTATATTAATATATTTCTTTGAATTGATTTGGGTAATTTTTGTTGATTTTTTATGATAATTTTCGATTTTTTTTTTTTGGAATTGATTTGTGCTGTTTTGGTTTAGTGTGGGTGGGGTTTTGGTTGGGGGTTTCGGTTTGGTGTGGGTGGGGTATGTGTTGGGGTGGTTTCGGTTTGGTTTGGGTGGGGTGTTGGTGGTGTTTTGGTGACAAGGGTTGGGATTTGGTGGGGTACGGTGGTGGGTTAAGGTTGTGGATCTGGTGAGTTAGGGTTAGGTGGTTTAAGGTGGTGGGTTACGGTGGTGGGTTAAGGTGGTGGTGTACGGTGGTGGGTTTGGGTGTGGGTTGGTGGGTTTGGGTGTAAAGGTGGGATAGGGGCTGGTGGGGGTGGTTTCGATGGTGGTTGTTGGTGAACTGGGGTTAGGGGCTGGTGTGGGTGGTTTCGGTGGTGTTGCGTGGTTGGTGAATCTGGGTTAGGCTTCGGTGGTGGGTAAGGGTTAAGGAGGAGGGTTAGGGTTCGGTGGTGGTGGCTAAGGGTAGTGGTGGATTAGTAAGGGTAAGGGGTAGGTGTGGCGGTGGGTGGATGAGGGTGGTTGGGGCTGGTAGGGGTGGTGCCTATTTTTTTTTTTTTTTGGAGTTTCCGACGGAATTTCCGTTGGAAATTTCCGACGGACTTTTCGGTACCGGAAAACCTCTTCCGGCGGATTAATTCCGTCGGAAAAAACTGTTCCGACGGAATTGGCCGTTTTTCCTACAAAGGTTGTTCCGACAACCCGTTCCGACGGAAATTCCGTCGGAACAGTGTTTTCCGACGGAATTTAGGGTGTTTCCGACAAAATTTTGCCGTCGGAAATGGCCTGTTTTCTAGTAGTGTTCTTTCTCTCTCCTAACCTCAACCACCACACCACAACTAACCACGACCCCAGCAACCCTGAAACTCGACCACCCCCATCCACCCATAAAACCCCCTAACACCAACCACCCCAGCCACCTTGAAACGTCGACCACCCCAACCAACCTAAAACCCTGACCATCCCAACCGCCCTGAAACCTGACCACCCCAATCACCCACGAAACCCGTCCCTTAAACATGACCAACCCAGCCATCCAAAACTCCAAAAGAGGTCGGAAACCACCCAAAACCCCACCCCGAAATACCGCCTAACCCCTAGTCCTAAACCCACCTGAATCAGAAACTTCACTTAAGTCTGACCACTCCATTCAACCTGAAACCCTTTACCCAGACCACCCCATTAACAGGGAAACCAGCAGGGATTCTGACATGGGAGAGATTAAGGAAGGGGAAGGGAAAGGTGATGGAGTTGGCTCCGGCAAGGGGAGGTGGGCAGTCCGACAGGGGGTGGGCGGTCCGATAGGGGGTGAGTCGGTCTGGCAAGGAAAGAGATCGGGAAGTGGGAAGGGGTTTTTATTTTTTTTTTTTAATTATCCTTTTTTTAAAAAAATATTTTAAAAAAAAACAAAAGCCAATAAGAAGGTGACACGTGTTAAGTCACCTTCTTAAACAGGTGGGCAGTTTGACAAACCGATAAAAGGCTCATTTTGAGCAGATGGGGGTCAAAGGTGGAATTGTTTATAGATTTCGAAAAGATGGGATTGTTTTGAGCAGAAAATTAAAGCCAAAGGTGGGATTATTAGTTTTCATTTTTTCATTTATAATCACTTCAAGATCTAATATTCCTCTATTTTTTATTAGATGCATCACTTTCTATATATGAAAGTTTCAATTTAGATGCATCACTTTCTTTTTTAGTCAATAAGTTCTCTCTACCTCTCTAATATCACATGTGCCCTCTTTATTTTTTCTCTTTATATCACTGTACTCCAAAAATTGCCCTAAGTTAACAATTTCAAAAGTGATGCATCTAATAAAAAATGGAGGAAGTAATTTGAATATCTTCGGATATCTTTTACTTTTCGTCCTATTTGAATCTAATCTTTTTTTTAGGTGAGATATAGGGAAAGAGATTATTTGGAACATCTTCTCACAAGATCGTGCCCTAATCTATCATGTTGTAAGAAATAATTAAGAAAACTTGTTATCCATGAATGGATCGATATCTTGGTGGGTCGGAGTAGAGTAACCCAAAGAGGCCATATAATCGGCTAATATGTTTCCTTCACGAAAGATGTGCTGGGAATCGAAGGCCAAAAAGGAATTCAAGATAGTCTTGATGTCTTCCATTAGGAGCTAAAGTCTCCATGAGCAGTTAAGGTAACCCTGCAAAATATTAACAACAGTTTAATTATCTCCTTCTATAAAAATATTAAAACAATTGTGATCTTTTACCAGGGGAAGACCATTACAAAGGGTGATTGCCTCAGCAAGAAAAGCTGAGCATGAACCCAAGCTATAAGTACAACTGACAATATGATTACCGAGGGAGCTAGTCCCTAATAACAACACTAGTTGTAGACGTGTTATAAGTCGTAAAGTAATCCTATTTGAATTTATTCATGATAC